TATTCAGTTCCTGTGGTTGTCTGATTGCTGTGTTGTGTCTATTCAGTTCCTGTGGTTGTCTGTTCGCAGTGTTGTGTCTATACAGTTCCTGCTGTTGTGTTTTTGCAGTGTTGTGTCTATTCAGTTCCTGTTGTTGTCTGTTCGCAGTGCTGTGTTTATTCAGTTCTTCTTGTTGTCGGTGCGCAGTGTTGTGTCAATTCAGTTCCTGTTGTTGTCTGTTCGCTGTGTTGTTTCTATTCAGTTCCTGTGGTTGTCTGATTGCTGTGTTGTCTGTTCGCAGTGTTTTGTCTATTCAGTTCCCATTGTTGTCTGTTCATAGTGTTGTGTCTATTCAGTTCCTGTTTTTGTCTGTTCGCGGTGTTGTGTCCATTCAGTTCCTGCTGTTGTCTGTTCGCAGTGTTGTTTCTATTTAGTTCCTGTTGTTGTCTGATTGCTGTGTTGTGTCTATTCAGTTACTGTTGTTGTCTGTTCGCAGTGCTGTGTTTATTCAGTTCTTCTTGTTGTCTGTTCGCAGTGTTGTGTCAATTCAGTTACTGTTGTTGTCTGTTCGCAGTGTTGTCTCTATTTAGTTCCTGTTGTTGTCTGATTGCTGTGTTGTGTCTATTCAGTGCCTGTGGTTGTCTGTTCGCTGTGTTGTGTCTATACAGTTCCTGCTGTTGTCTTTTCACATTGTTGTGTCTATTCAGTTCCTGTTGTTGTCTGTTCGCTGTGTTGTCTCTATTCAGTTCCTGTGGTTGTCTGTTCGCAGTGTTTTGTCTATTCAGTTCCCATTGTTGTCTGTTCATAGTGTTGTGTATATTCAGTTCCTGTTGTTGTCTGTTCCCAGTGCTGTGTATATTCAGTTCCTGTTGTTGTCTGTTCGCCGTGTTGTGTCTATTCAGTTCCTGTTGTTGTCTGTTCGAATTGTTGTGTCTATTTAGTTCCTGTTGTTGCCTGTTCGCAGTGTTGTGTCTATTCGGTTCCTGTTGTTGTCTGTTCGCTGTGTTGTGTCTACTCAGTTCCTGTGGTTGTCTGTTCGCAGTGTTTTGTCTATTCAGTTCCCATTGTTGTCTGTTCATAGTGTTGTGTATATTCAGTTCCTGTTGTTGTCTGTTCGCAGTGTTGTGTCTATTCAGTTCCTGTTGTTGTCTGTTCGAATTGTTGTGTCTATTTAGTTCCTGTTGTTGCCTGTTCGCAGTGTTGTGTCTATTCAGTTCCTGTTGTTGTCTGTTCGCTGTGTTGTGTCTATTTAGTTCCTGTTGTTGTCTGATTGCTGTATGTGTCTATTCAGTTCCTGTGGTTGTCTGTTCGCAGTGTTGTGTCTATACAGTTCCTGCTGTTGTCTTTTCACAGTGTTGTGTCTATTCAGTTCCTGTTGTTGTCTGTTCGCAGTGTTGTGTCTATTCAGTTCCTGTTGTTGTCTGTTCCCAGTGCTGTGTATATTCAGTTCTTGTTGTTGTCTGTTCGCAGTGTTGTGTCTATTCAGGGGGTGTTGTTGTCTGTTCGCATTGTTGTGTCCATTCAGTTCCTGTTGTTGGCTGTTCCCAGTGCTGTGTCTATTCAGTTCTTCTTGTTGTCTGGTCGCAGTGTTTTGTCTATTCAGTTCCTGTTTTTGTCTGTTCGCAGTGTTGTTTCTATTTAGTTCCTGTTGTGTTGTATGTTCACAGTGTTGTGTCTATTCAGGGGGTGTTGTTGTCTGTTCGCCGTGTTGTGTCTATTTAGTTCTTCTTGTTGTCTGGTCGCAGTGTTTTGTCTATTCAGTTCCTGTGGTTTTCTGTTCGCAGTGTTTTGTCCATTCAGTTCCCATTGTTGTATGTTCATAGTGTTGTGTATATTCAGTTCCCGTTGTTGTCTGTTCCCAGTGCTGTGTCTATTCAGTTCCTCTTGTTGTCTGTTCGCAGTGTTGTGTCTATTTAGTTCCTGTTGTTGACTTTTGTTTTTTGTGATGCTATTTTGTGTGTTGTTATCTCTCCTTTGTGATGTGTCTTCTCTGTTCATTTACAGTATTGACTTTGAATTTCAATTTTGTTAATGTGTTGATGCTGTTATAAATATTTTGTAATTTTTTATTTCATTCCACTGATAAACATATGTATCTTCATTTCTTGTAGCGTGTGGACTTGACCCAGCCTATGTTTTTAAGTTTTTGTCCAAAAAACAAAATATCATGCACCTGGAAGAAATATTCTGGCAAGAATATGACTCGAATGCTGGTAAGAGATTAAACCTGCATTTCACGGAATAATAAATGCATTTACACCTTTGGGTAAACAACAGGGAGGGGGATTCTCAAGTTGTCAAACACGGTACTTGCCCGATAAGGCCTAAGTTTTTCCCTAACAAAGTAGCTTAGTTTTTCAGAGCGACATAATAATTGAGCCCAACATCTCTAAGGTTCGGGGTTCGAATTCTGATCTAGCCGACCTTAATTTTTTAAAGTCAGTCCACTGCAAATTGTTAATGTTATCTTGTTTATTTTACCTTAAATATTTGTTTAAAAAATCCAGGAAATTATGGTTTCCTTTTCAGAAATGATTCTTCAAAGCTATAGTCATGCATCAACATAGTTTCTAATACTAGTTATGAATATATAAATATCCGTTTTTAATACCTCGGATAATTATTATTGGTTAAAAACATATATGTAACTTTTAGAAACAATTAGACGGTTATAGGGACTATAATAATTCTCATATGGCGATTATTCAGTAAGCGACAGTGCTTTTAGGATGTGCATGGTTATTCCATGTTTACTCACCAGGAGCGGAACGCAGATGTAACGATATTCTCTCCTGGTGTAAGAGTATGTTTTGTTAATATACATACAAATGTAATTTAATAAGTATAATGAAAACAGATGATACATGTACCCCCAAATGCGCGATGGGTTCAGAGGAAGGGGAATAACTCTTGGAGACTTGTGCTTTGCTGCTTAGAACTTAACATAACTGTATTTTGTTTTATAAATAACACGTTGTTTCCCAATATAGACACGGGCTTTTTAATGTTTAGTAATTACAGGGCTCCGATGCCGCACAAAAAGCACACTTGTCATTCATAAATGCTAGAATACCATGATTCGGTATTATGTTATGCCACCAAATACATTTGAGCAAAAGAGGATGACAAGATTTGATGATTCGTTACATCTACTACAGAAATTTCATATCAATTAAGTTTAACTTTGCTTTTTTGTGGAGTTCGCTTTTATTTTTATTTTGTTGAGGTCCTGGTTTTTTTTCAAATTCTTATTTGTTTGGCTGTTTATTTACTGTGAAATGTTAACATAAATGTTGATATTGATTATTTTACCTTTTTTCAGTGTAAATATCATAGTGTATATCGTTTATGATATGCATGATATACACATATTTTAACTCTGTTTTTCCATTTGTGATAGTACTTGATAAACTAACATAAAATTATGTTTAGCATGTTCTGTTTAATAACAGTCACTGTTTAACAATGTTATTTCAGATAAAACGATCAGCCTTGATGAATTCCAGTCCGAACATTATAACGTGAGTATACTTTACATGTACTTACCGTCATATATCCTTCTATGACGTCATAGTAGAGTTCCAATAATGGGGTCCCGTGACCATTTTTCCTGGACCAAGGTTTGAAAGTTGATTTTAATCAATTTCATGGTGCTGATTAAAATGAGCTGGGGTGAACCTCGTAAAAGTGTGGGTTAAGTCGGTAAGACGCGAAAATTCAAAATGGCCGCCACCCGGCCTCCAGTATATCATAAATTTACATAAATTTGCGTCTACATGTCCGTTTTGTATGATTGTTGGGACTACATATATGTTTATTAGCACAATAACTCGATAAAAGTAAGTGTTAGAACGAAAATTGCTTTTTTTATTATTTTGCTTCCAAAAACCAGGATAACCGCCAGCAGACTGAAAATGAAAAGACCAGAGGACACTCTTAATGGTTTGGATGCAAATTTTTCATCTTTAACCATTGTAAAATTGATAAAACCACCATTGTATTAAATGTCTAGTCAATGATTTTGTCAATTTCGGGTTTAACGTCATCGCAACGGCCAGAATCATATAATTGGTTTGGTTTTAATTTGTTTAACGTCCTTTTATCAGCTAAGGTCATTTCAGGACGTGCCTCAATGTGTGTTGTGTAAGCGTGCATGTGTGTATGTGGGCCAGAGAAAGGGTATGTTGGTGGGCTTGCCTCCTTGTCATAGCGTGGATCTGATGCCAACTTTATGGTGCTATCTCACTGAAATACCATGCCGAAAGCACCCAGCACGGTATTACATCCGGTCACAGGGGATACGAAGAGGATATGGAAGAGACCAAGATTGGTCTGCTTCTCCGCTTACAACACTTTAGATATTTCTCGTTTCCTATCTTTCCTGTCTTCTTACTTGTTGTTTGTGGCGGCGATTTTCCAGGCACCTGTCCTCATATGATCCATTGGGGATTTGCTTTTAGGCCCTCTATTAGGGGACAGAAAAGCAACCAAAATCAATCTGGTACAGCCTTTGCAATGTTTGGGATCTGTATTATATTTCTTTCTTCTTCTAACTCCATTTTGTTTCCTAGAGCCTTATTTGGCAACAGCTCACTTTTGGCTTTAACGTTTAACGCTCGCGCAGGTAAGGAAGACAATGGGTTCTGTCCCAAGGCCGGTCCTCAAAAATGGTAGTTGTTATTCCCTGCTTAACGTATAGCAGCAACTGCTTCATCCTTGTCTGTATAACGTGACCGGACGGAATACTGTGCTGGGTGCATGGTATTTCAGTGGGATAGCACTATAAAGTCGGCATCTGATCCACGCTATCACAAGGAGGAGAGTCCACCAACATACCCTTTCTCATACACACATGCACGCTTACACAACACACATGGAGGCACGTCCTTAAATGACCTTAGCTGATAAAAGGACGTTAAACAAACTAAAACCAAACCAATCATACATGTATGATTCTGGCCGTTACGAGGATGTTAAACCCGAAATGGACAAAATCATTACCAGACATTTAATACAATGGTGGTTTTCATCTAGTTTACAATGATTAAAGATGAAAACATTGCATCCAAACCATGAAGGGTGTCTCCCTGGTCTTTTCCTTTGCAGTCTGCTGGCTTATCCTGGTTTTTGGCAGCAAAATCATAAAAAAAAAATGTTGTTCTAAAACTTAATTTTATCGAGTTATTGTGCTAATAAATGAAATCCATGACCCTTAAAACATATATGTAGACCCAAAACTCATATAAAACGGACATCTATAACCAAGATATTTTTATGATATACTGGAGGCCGGGTGGCGGCCATTTTGAATTTTCGCGTCTGACCTAGTTACATTGTAGCCCACATTTTCACGAGGTTCACCCCAGCTCATTTTAATCAGCACCCTCAAATTGACAAAAATCAAATTCAAAACCTAGCTTCGGGAAAAGTGGTCACGAGACCCTATTGTGGGAACTCTACTATCATAAAAGGTTCCAAACTTAGAGTACAAACTGAATATCTCATTTTAAATAAAAGGTTGCTTTTTTGTTCCATTCAAGCAACCTCCCTAGCTTTCATATTAACATACATGTATAACATACAATGACGATTCATGCCGTATTATGTAACCAGAGCCGCTACCGTGTAATGTGTAAATTAAAAGATCACTGTCCAATTGCGTTGAGATTTTACCTATATACGGTACGTTTCACTTAACTTCCGTTTGGATTTAATTATTAGCATAGTGGGGCTTGTATATTTCTGTTGACCAGGTAGATATATATCGGTTAGATCGATGGTACAGCGGGTTACAATCTGAAGTCCTGGTCCGAATCACGGTATAGCCCCGCTAAATATTTACACGCAGAACACCGTCATTGGTTTTATTTTGATTATTTCATCTGTATTATTCCTCATACAAGTATCGGAAGGTACGGTTTTCCTTCTAGAAATGACTATCAAAGTCATAATCATGCTGAAAAAAAGTTTCCAGTACTAAGTTACAGTTTCTGGCAGTGGAACGGGGATCCTGACCATAAAGAATGCCATGACTACCTAGTCAAAGCCTTCAAAGACTCAATATGTCGTTAAATCATCTCATTGATGTAGCGTAATCATGTTTATATTTCTTTTCAGATATTTGTTAAATGGATGAGCGAAAATATTGTATCATTTGGAGGATTCTAAAGAATAAGAGGAAGTGACGTCATAAGAAGTTCGGCTCTGAGACATGTGACCTATATTAAAGAGCATAAGTAACATATGTTTAGCGTTTGGGTTGTTTTATCTGCGTTGTCTGTTTGTTTGCGTATGTTTTTTTCTTATTCAAAAAAATGTAATTTTTATTTTGCAATTATGCATTGAGATTGTTTTTATCTGTCTTTCATTGATAGATAATTTGCGATAACAAATGTAATATTCTGTGATTACCGTGAAGAGACGTTATTCTCAATCATGCTTATTATTGCGCTAAAAAGCGGGAAACCGTCTCAGAGGAAATTAGGCTCGTGACAAACAATAGCACCATTAACCGGAACTGTTGCCAGACAGGACTATGATGTATGATGAAACTCTACCGGGATAATTTCTTTACGGCAGATAGAACATGCCACTGTGCCATGGTTTTAACAAATATAGCGATATACATTTACTGCCGATGAAGTCGGTTTAATAGTGAAGTCTTTAACATCATGTAGGAGTCCCTTTCTTTGCCAACATATTTTATTTACAACAGAGAGATTTTAATTCGTAATCTTAAAGTATAAGACGTGCCAAGTGTATCTATAAGTTTTCAAATTCAATGTGAAATATTAAGGTTGCACGCTACCTTATATCGAGAGTAGCTTTTTTCAATTAACATTATATACTAAAAAAAATATTACTAATAAATCTTGATAAGTGTGATAAATTTGAACGTTGATACTGTACATATCACAGTAATGCAGCATTCCACTTTAACGGGATATAAGGTCGATATACATAACACTTCTTACTATTCTGTTCGCGTCATGGACTGAATTCTGTCGATTGTTCGGGAAATGATTGCTAGAATGTCACCTTTCATTCACAAATATATTGCTCCCACCGATTCATCCCAAGGGATCACTCCGGTACCTTCTCCGAATGAATTTGATGGAAACTATAAGTCTACATCCATGTTTGTCTATTATACAACTAAGGTTTAGCTCTGGGAAAGCGTGCATTTCTGGTTCCGACCAGGCCTATATCCACATCCCTTTGCTGTAAATCGGAAAATAAAATCTAGTTCTGAAATACTGTATTCAAAATTCTTTTAATGATAATGCTGCGCGTAGACATTTTTTAATGCAAGTTCCGAAAACCCATCGAGAGTCAATTCTTTCAATATCGCCTGCGTTGATGTCGCGCTCTTTGGATAGAGATCAAGGCCAATGTCAAAAACAAATTTCGCCCACGACCCAAGAAATTTGCCTAGTTATTTTCGTAATATACCGGAAAAAATTGCCGATTAAAGCCAATTATGTTACATTATATTTTATATACAGACTTACTCCATGTTCAGTGTACTGGAGGACAAAGTACGTATACCTTAACTGGAGGCCTATCATCAGAAACTGAAGGACCATAACTGCCAAGACAACGAGGTTGAGGGAGACTCAAGAATATATAACATTTTATAACATATACATATATTTTATGGTAAACCTGTGTATTATGTCAATGAAGAGGTCAGGGATTGGTGGTGTGCTACCTTATGGGAATTGCCATTAGAGTAATCTCCCTTTCATTACAAGTTCCTTCCTTTTAACAGTGAACCACATGAAGGCTGTTCCAGTTTTCAACGGTTTTTAAAAAATCATTTAAGGCAGATTGAGTTTCAGAACACCAAAAACGTTAAGTCCGTGTTAGTTTTTATCGATCAGGGGCGTAGTTTTTGTAAGTATATTGGTTGTCTACTAACCAGGTTTATTGTTTGCGCTACTTAAACTGTGTCGTTTCTCGGGGGTTTGGTTTCTATTTATAGATTGTTTTCGCGCCATTTCGAGATGTCTGCCAATTGCAACTCCACCAACATTTTATGCATTGGGCACTCCTTTATCCGGAGACAAAAGCGTTTTGTTACTTTCAACAAATCGTATGATCGCGATTTGGAAATAAAGGGGCCAAATATACAAATTTCGTACTATGGAAAACCAAGTGGGACTCTCGATCGGTTCAAGAATAATTTCACCCAGCATGTGATTCTGTCACTTCAAAGCCGGTTGCATGCAGGGGCGGATCCAGGATTTCCTAAAAGGGGGGGCCGAGAATATTTTCTCTAAAGTCAACGGTGTGCTGCCGAGCGCGTAGCGCGAGTAGGGGGAGGGTACGGGAGGGTGTCTCCCCCCTCCCGTAAGGGGGGTTTGGGGGATCTCCCCCCAAAAAATTGTGTTTTCTAGAACGCCTCAGAAGCGATTTCCCGTGTTCTGAGGATTGTTTTTATGTTTAACTAACAAGAAGAAAAAAACATATTTTAAGTATGGCCCAAAGACTTTTTTTGTGTACTGGAAAGAAAATTAAAGTTTCGGTTCAAATTCTCTATCAATAGCGTGTTTTAGAAGTCAGATGGTATTATTATAGGGGCAACCTGGTGCTGACAAATGTATGAATCCACAGGGGGCTTGTTCATTATTACCTAATTTGGGGTCCCGCCCGCATGGGGGATACTATTGGTCCACCGTCAAAAAATGAATGTAGGGACGCACAATATCTAGTCTTCAGACATTGTACCTACAGTACAGTACTTCATGTAATAGTTTGTCGTACTAAAGAACAAATAACACAATAACATCGTTGCTGTTTAATTAATGAGTTACTCATGGCATCACTAAGTTGCTAAACAAACGGATAAGTTCAAATCATTGCGACACCCAAGGCCACTAGCTATATAGTCTCGCGTTTTATAATTGTTGACTAGTTCACTAATGTAGACAATGATATATCTGAAATGTCCACGCTGATTAACTCATGTAAGGGCGTGCATCTTACCAACAGTGGTACATTTGCTAAGCTATCTGGTTAAAATGGTACAACTTAGGAGGCACATACGCGTCACCTTTAAATTTAATTCAAATTCATCATACTTGTAAGTACAGCATATCATCTCATTCTGGTACGTACAACTTATTACTACGTACACAATAGTATGCTGTGTGAAGATACTTTCTTGTACGTACACGATGGTAAGCTATAAATACCACAATGAGATATTATGTTGTACATACAAGATAGTTAAACAGTTCCAACAATATATAATACCAAAATAATTGAATGGATATGTTTAGTCGATTATACATAATATTGTCAGCCAAAAAAACCCTTTATCATTCTTGTATAATGATATGATTAATATCGCCCGGGCGGTTAGGAAGGTTACAATAAAAAGTATTGATTTTCAGATCATCTATAACGAGCGGTCAATAATATAATCGCAGAGCGTTGCAAGTTGCAACTTGGGGTTTTGCGGAGGTGGTAAAATAAAAAAAACACTTTAGGGTCAAGATACAAAGTATACGAGCGTAGCGATGCCAACAAATATTGTTTTAATAAAGAAAATGTAGTAAAAATATCAGATAACGGAAACCCACAATATTTGCTAGGATGCCGTATGGGATGTGTGGGGTGTAGCCCTAGATTTTTTTTATACAAGCTCCGTGTATTATTTGATGCATTTTGAAATGTTAATATGTTCCCATTCCCGGCCGATCAGACCATTTCGGGCCGGCCCGAAAAAGGTCAGTCCGCCGCCAAAAGGGGGG